TGTCTGTTGTTCCGGTTCCCTGCACCAATAGGTACACGTAGCTTTCTCAGGGGGCCCTTGAAAAGTAGGAAACTAACGTAAGAATCCTCAAAGTTTGCAAAACAGCACGGCCCGAAACGTATCTCTAGCAATTATCAGGGGTAGATAGCCTAAAAAGGTCTTATTATGTATTTCCCTCTCGTGATAAAACTCCAACTCATTCTATGTTTCATGTTCAAGGACAAAATGCAGCTTGGCCAGCCCCACGCTTGGTTAGAGGACTGAGATGTTCCTGGGGTTAGTTACATTCACCTCTGGTCAGGATGAGGTCTGAGGCAGAAGCCAGTCCCCCGGCGCTGCTCACTGCCTAGCTCAGGTAAGACCGCACAGAACGTCTCCTGTATTCAACTGATTCCAAACTCTACTGTTCTATGACTGCTGTAGATTTAACCAGTTAGCTTGAAAGATGTTTATGTACATTTATTATTATTTTTTGGAAGTCGGGGCATTGGTGATGATGTGGGCATAATTCATGAGTCAGATAGGAAAGGTGTTTGAGCTTGAACTTTTTTTTTAAGCCTTTAGTGGCATTTATCTTATGCTGAATTTACTCCTGAGCCATCAATTTTTGTTTCTCCAGTTAATTCTAGGGTTGTCTTTTTCTTCGGCTCAATAATCTGCTCTGTTTCAGTAAGGGTCATCTCAGCCGGCAGAGGAGCTTATGGGGGGTTCATCTGACCGGGAGTTCTGAAATCCCTAGGTGCAGCTCTGGGGACTCGTTCATCTAGATGAACCCAGTGACTGATGAATCAAGGTCTAAATTCTATTTTTTTTAAGATTTTATTTCTTTATTTGAGAGAGAGAGAGAGAAAATGAGTGGGGGGAGGGAAAGAGGGAGAAGGAGAAGCAACCTCCCCACTGAGCAGGGAGCCCAATGTGGGGCTTGATCCCAGGACCCCGAGATCATGACCCGAACTGAAGGCAGACGCTAAACCAACTGAGCCACCCAGGCGCCCCTCAACATCTAAATTCTTAAGTTCAGCATTACTCTCTCCATTTTTAAGCACGTGCAGCCAAAACTCAGCCCTCTTTTGGGGCCACTGACCCTGTGTCTAGCCCCATCGTTTGGCCTGAGTCCCACACCATTGCAATGATGCAGGGGTATGCATGGCTTCTGTAATGTGACATCTTTCAGAGACTTGGTGGCTTTTCAGAGATGCATACCTTTGATCTTCTGGGCTGTTTCGTGGATGTTCTTAAAGTAAACACAGAGATTTGAACCTCTTGATTTGCATGATTGGTCAGGGTTTTTTGGGTCGAGTAGAGAACAATTTTCAGAGATCATCTCAGGCTACGTAGGGAAGAGCTGGAACTTTTCTCACAATCCGGTACTAATAATGCCTGTCAAATAATAAAGTCGGGAAAACAGAAGGCAGGACAGCCAGACAGTGGGTTAGACAAGCAAATGGCTGATGGCAAGTTTCTGATCTTCGAGGTTGTCGGGCTGGAGAATCTTCACTCCACTCCCCCGACCTGGGTATCAGGAGGCTTCTGCTTTCCTGTGCAAGAGGGTATTTGAAGCCAAGGAAGAAACTTGGTGCTTATCCCTATGGCATTTACTCATTCACAGATTTGAGACCAAAAGGCCATGGTTTTTATGTGGGGGGAAAAACCCAGATGCATAGTAGAGTGGGAAGCATCCAGTGCTGAAGTTTGAGAAGAGCCTCTCACGGGATAGCTGCCTGCAGCAGGAAGCTCTGGGCTCCAACACTGCTGCAGGTGGCTTCTGGAAGAATCTGAAAAGGTGAGGTTCCCTGGGTCATCTGGTTCATCCATCTGGGCTCCTAAACCCATGCCGCACCTGCCTCCTAGAAAGCCTTTCTCTTCTGTCTGCCTCTGCTAATCTCTGTTTTCTGGCAAGCCCTGGGACAGATGCTCCTTCCCTTACAAAGGACATCCTGATGGACTAGGCTTTGACTCCGTGCTCCTTGTCAGCTCCTGTCTACAGCACATATGGATTCCTCCGAACACACCAGACCATGTCTCAACTCCTCTCTCGGTTGGCTCTCCTGGAGAGCACAGTCTGAGGGTTGTGCCACCTGGAGAGCACCGTGCCGTGTTGAGAGTAGGACCTCCGTAAACATTTGAAGAATGAACAACGGATGAGTGAGAAGTGGGTATTGTCCATTTATGACTGAGCAAGCAGCTGATTTAATTTCTTTCTGGAAGTGAAAACCAAGGGGGTGGGGGTTGGCCTGAGCTGGAAGGGATTTCCTAAAAGAAGATGAGAGGGAGGAAATGGAAAACCATCCCTTTAAGACAAGCTTCTCACCTGGACAATGCACTGACACAGAAGGAGGGAACTCTGAAAATGCTCACACTGGAGAAAAACCATTAGATCGGTGACGATTTGTCCTCATTTCCCAAGTCTAAAGGGAAGGTGAACTGTTGTTGATTAATTTAGTGCTCCCTATTGCCCTTTTCATCAGTAATGCAGGCCAAGTCATCATCCTCTTTGATTTTTTGGTTACATCAGCCCCAGTAATGGACTTTTGCTGATAAGGAAATATTAGTTGAGAAGGAAAATGGAGTTGTTTAAGCAATAAAATTAAATAATGATGTGCAGGAAGGACATTGTGCATCAGTGTATCAATATGTTGCAATCAAATTATCAAAGACACTTCCGCTCTCTAATTCCCTTTAGAACGGTGCTGTGTCCTAAGGCCACGTTAGGAGAAGCTTAGCTCTGCTGGGTATCACATCCCAATGTGGAGGCTTCCCAGCTTTGTGCTGCGTCTGGAATTCGCTGGGGCTATTAGCTGTGCCTATGCCCTTTGTGGGAAGTGTTTAATAGAACTGGAGTTGGATCGGTGAGTTTTCTGGGCACCGGTTCTGTTTCTGCCTGTGATCTTCTCTGTGGCTTTAAGCCAAACAGGGAGAACACGTCTGCCTTTTAATTTTCCCCTTTGGCAGGCAACAAGAACAGTATTTATCTGGCAAATGTTTTAAAACCTGAATAGAAAGCAAACTTAAAATGTAAGGGGTCATGCATTGTATCAGCTGTGCTCCTGTCCGTGCAGTGGGTAAATTTCAGTCCTGGTTCCGGGGCAAGATTTGGCAGGGAATCCGCACCCTTACAGGGCAGTTTCCCTTCTCCAGCCACCTCCATTGCCTGGTTTAATTTTTACCGGCTTTTTGGTCATTCTGAGCTCTCTGTGGATTAGTTCACCATAAGAAAATGTCCTTCCAAGTCTTATTCCCACTCCTGGCAGACAACCCAACTCTGGTTTTACTGAGAAGATTAAGGCTCACTTGGAAGAATTAAACTTACTCATCTCTGTGGCTGCCTCCCAGTTTTGGATGAAAGGGGGGCCTCTCTCTCCCTTTTCTCCAGAGCTCACCCTTGCCCCTGTGTCCTGGACTGACCTCCCCTGGGTTTTATGTTGTTTTTGGGGGTGTGTTTTTGTTGTTTGTTTGTTTGTTTGTTTTGGTTTGGTTTGGTTTTGCCTCTTCCTCTTCCACTTTCCAGTACTTGCATGAGCCGGGTCTCCCTTGCAGCTGCTTTCAAATGCGCCCAATCTCCATTCTATTCTAAAAAGCACACACAAACACCAGAACGCCTTAGCTTGACCTTGCTCTCTCTTCCAGTCTATTTATTGCCTTCTTCCTCTAGCAAGACATCTCAATTTCCTCTTCCTAGAGGTTAGTGCTATGGCTTCCTTTCTCTTTCACTGTTGAAATTGCATTCTCAGAGGTCACCATGGGTGCCCGGTGGGCCCAGCCCAGAGAGGGTTTTGTGTTAGACTCATCCTTCTTGTTTTCTCAAAAGCATCACTTTTCTTTCCTTCTACTTTTTCTTTCACAATTCCACTCTGACCTACTTCTCTGCTTACACTGTGTGTGTCAACTAATCGTGTTTCCTAAAGTTGTTCACCACACAGCATCATGGCTGAGTCTGAGCTCTGACATTAACCTAAGGTTGAATTCTGACTCTGCCACCAGTTAACTGCATGACATTTGGTAAAGACATCTCCCAGTGCCTCAGTTTCCCCATCCTTAATATGGGGATCATAATTAGAGTACTTACCTTAGATTTGTGGTAAGAATCAAACCAGATAGTCTACGAAATATTTACCTGAACGATTGGCACGTAGAAATACCCAATAAACATTTATTAGCATAACAATAAACTCCAAGAGCTTTGAAAATGTGACTTCTTTTCTCTTAGGACATATAGCCTGCTCACTTTGCCAAACACAAGGCCAGACAATAAATAATTAGTGATAAATAGATTTATAGGAAGTCCAGGGAGGGAGAAGTGAGGGGAGGAGAGGAGGTCTCCAAATTTGCAAGTACAATTAATTCCCAGTTTTCTTGTTTTGTTTTCCCAATAAATCAACAGTTTTGTTGAGAGTTTAAATCTGTCCTCGTAGCACCGATGGTGTTTGTGGCGCAGAAGGGGGCGTCAGCGTTAAAGCTGTAGCTGTGGGTGCACCAACGAATCACAGAGAAGCTGCTCCGCCTGGAACACAGTGTCCCATCCCTAGATTAATGCTGCTGAACTGGATTAGGGAAGGAGGCTTAGCAGCTGTGCGCGGAGCCTGGAACCCGTCCATTGAGTGATGCTGCCATCTAATGGTGTCATCGGGGAACTGCTCTGGGCAGAGCCCTTCATTTGGTGCAGGGGCAGAGCCTCGGAATTGCAGTCCTTTCTTTAAAAAGTGTGGGTGAGACCCGAACGGAGGGAAGAATAAGGGGGAAAAGACAGCAAGGGGAAGGGGGAACGACACCTCAGCACAGTCTGGGAAAGTAAAGGACACAAGTGATGCTTGCAACCACTAAGAACAATCTCGTCGGTATTCGAGCGCAATTCCCTCCCCCACCGCAATGCGGTCATCTAAACTTTCCCCCCCCCCCCCGCCCCCGCCCCCGCCCCGGGATTCTCACTTTCCAACACTCTGTGCTGACCCGTTATCCCGAAAAGATCTTCTTTCACCTTCTCATTCCCCTTCTTCTACGTTAGGAATTCAGGGCTGGGAAAATTGAGCCTAGTCACCCCACCTGGCGACCACAGCGGATCCGACCTGGGCTCCAGCCGCACCTGCAGCAGCTGACCACGTGACCTCCGCCAGGTAAGGGCCCCCGGGGCTCCCGGCAACCCGCCCAGCGCCCAGAGGAGGCCAAGGTCGATCGGGATATCCCGGGAGGTTTTGGAATGTCACTCGGGTCACTGACATCAGGGGCAGTTGACATTGTCTTTGTAAAACTGAAGTGGGCAATGTTGGCCATAAAGCCAATCTTTCTTCTGTTCGCAAACTATGTCAGTCCACCTCTGTCCAATAGGTAGATTATAGGTCATTATATCAAGTCATCAAAGAGCTTTAGGAAGCGGGAGGGGCACTGAAGGGGAGATGTTGGTGCCAACATGTGGACACAGCATGTCCTTCCCCAGCGAGCACGCAGGGCGCTGTCTGGGGACCGGACATCCGCCTTACACACGGTGACACCCTGCACGCGGAAGTACAGGTCATGGTCTCTGCTGTGTCCTTACTAGAGATTTGACCTGAGTTATTGACCTTACTCTAAGCATCATTTCTCTCTGTTCTAAAATGGACATAATTAAACTGACCTCTCAAGATTACTTCGAAGATTAAATCAAGTGCAAGAAAAGCCCCTTATTTGGGAGACTGGGACTGGATTAGAGAGAGCTAATGGAAGAGAGTCGTTAAAGCAGAGAATCAGAGAAGGCAATACACGCCTCACATAGTTTACCTTAAAATATAGACTTCCCTGGTCTTTAATGTAGAGCCATGGTCTTTTCTTTGAATATGGATCCACGAGCTGGTGGCTTTTGAGGCACACACATCATCTGTGAGTTCTGGTTTGAGTTTCATTCAGTGGAATAAAATCTGAAAGGCACCAGGGGAGACCCGTATAAAGTCGCTTCTGCACGGTCATTCAGATCCCAGTCATGGTTCCATGAAGACTCTTCCCCAGTGCTTACTGTCCACACCGTTTCTAAGTAGACAGCAAGGTTTGAGTAGCTTCTTGTTGTTGGATCTTTCCAAAACATTCCATTTTGCATTCATAGAAACAACTTCCTTTCTCTGTGTATTCATTTTTCATCAATTTCTTGAATGCTTAAATGCCACAGTTATGATAAGAAGTACAGGTGTCAGAAACTGGTTCTTGGTCAGCATAAAAGGAGAAGTGAGGAGTGGGCACCATCAGCCACACTCACTGGTTGGTGCAAGTCACGAGGGTATGGAAAACACGGTTCCCCTGGCAAGTTGGCTCAGCAGAGGTCAGCTGAAACGGTTTTCCCTGCAGTGTGGACAAAGTGCTAAATGTGGTACCTAGCATACACAGTGCCCAATATGTGGTAGCTGTTAATATTATTATGATGATTAATAAGGTCAGTATTGGGAGGGTTTTTAGAAATCTACCAGTTTTGGGGCACCCGGGTGGCTCAGTCGGTTAAGCACACGACTCTTGATTTCGGCTCAGGTCATGATCTCAGGGTCCTAAGATCGAGCCCTGCGTCAGGCTCAGCACTAGGCATGGAGCCTGCTGGAGATTCTTTCTCTCTGTCTGCCCCTTCCCCTCCTCCCCTCCTAAAAAAGAAAAAAGAGAAATCTAACAATTTCTTCCCCTTGTTTTACAGAAATGATCAAAGTGTTTTATAATTTTGGCCTTCATAATATACCTTTTGGCTTCACTGAATAAAAGGATTATTGACCATAAACCTAATATTTTGAGTCAGAAGGATTTAAAATTACAGAGGCATTTGGGAGTCAGCCTAAAGCACAAAGCAGTTTTCTAGGTCACCCTAAATCCATGTTTGTTCAGGAAGACCAGGAAAAATCACACCATGGTGATGAAGACAAGCTCCAGGCTTTCAGAAATAGTGAAAACCAGGGCACAAGGTATTAACACACCCAGGGAGGACTTCCTGGAGGAAGGATGCACACGGGGATGAACGAAACTATAAGCAGAGCCATGCCTTTGGCTTCGTTGTGGCCAGGTGGCCTCCCAGACTCCATCACACTGGCCTGGGCACCTGGGATGACCCTAGCAACCCACCAGAAAAACCTAACCCCTCAAAGCAAAGTGTGGGGGTGAGTGGGCTTTGCAGCTCCAGTTAGAACACTTAAGAAATCTTTGACTCCATAGGCCATGTTTAAAATCCTCCTCTCTGAGATCCTGCGTGACAACAGACGGAAATTGTCCTTTTGTTTGGCTGCATTGGGTCTAAGGGACTTACGGGTTGGAAAGGAGAAGAGAGGAGGACACCGCAGGCAGGAAGGAGGGCCTGTGGGTAGGAGGTGCGGCAAGCTCACATGCCACAAAACTCCGGGTGAGGGGCTCTGGGACCCCAAGCTAACTTTTATGTTTCTTTTTACTTTTAAGGGAACTTTTTATTTGGGAATAGTATCCAAGAAGAGGGTACAAATCATAGCCTGTATAGCTCAATGTGATTTTATCATGAAAGAAATTCAAGGAGCTTCACGAACACATGATGTCAATACTGTGTCCTCTGCGAAGACCCTGACACTCTCTCCTCTCTTATCCCCTTGGCCCCAGCTGCTTCTCTGACTTCTGGGGTCTCTCCCGATGTGTGGGGTATGTCAATTCTGGAGTTATTTAAGTTCCACTGTAGAGGCAGGGAGAAAAAAAAAAAAAGAAAGAAAAGGCAGTGCTGGGGTTGGGTCCTATGCCCTCTGAGATTCCGATCCAGTAACAATGAGGTAGGCCTGGGGTTAATACCCAGCACTGTGGGGGATTCTAATGTCGGAGGCTGGGCTGACATGGTGAGAAACGGCTTTGTTTTTCCTGCTCCAGAAATGGAGATGAGCCCTGACAAGCTGTGTGACCGAACTAGATCATAGTTCTCATCTTGTAATGAGAAGGTAGGGCGGTAGGAAGGGCTTGCTAGCAGAGGTGGTGAGCTAGATGCGGAGCCCCGGGCGTTTTCCTAACCTCATACCGAACCTACCAAGAACAGCACTCAGCCCTCACGGACCTAATTAGCACTGCGTGAGAGCCTCCCAGCACCTTAAATTTCGACCTGACTATGAAGAAGTGACGGGGCTGGATGCTTGGCCTTTGAAGCCTGGAACAGACGGTTTGGATAGCTAAACCTCTTCCCTGCTCTGCTAATCCCACAGGAGAAGTCCAGCGTAATGAACAGGGAACTGGCTCTGCTTTCTTTCTCCACGGAGAGAAGCCTCAGGTGTGATTTTCATGCATCAGAACGGAGATACCAGCTGTCTTATAAGGAGGCCCCCTTAGTGAACAGCCCCCAGCTCGACCATTTTCAGTTCCTTTACCCACAGCCAGGTGCTTGTCAGCTCTATCAGGAGCATTCAGCCCCGTGAGGTTCTACTGAAACAGAAGGTTGTGTGGAGAAGAGCCCCAAAAGAAACAGCCAAGCCTGTCTGGCGTCAGTGTGAATTTTAAAATCCCTTCATTTTGGAGAAGACTGGCATAGGAATAGTGTCGTTTCTTTCTCTTAATGCAGTGGTTTTCTAAGTGTGGTCCCCAGACCAGCAGCACGCCGGTATTCCCCGGGAGCTTGTTAGAGATGTGGATCTGGGGCCCTGCTTCAGACGCACAGAATCAGAAACTCTGGGGATCAGGGCTGGGAATCTGTGTTAGAACAAGTCCTCCGGGTGATTCTAGCCCATGTTCAGGTGTGAGAACTGCTGGCATTTAATGGAATGAAGAACTTATGGGAATGCCTTTATTCAAACAAAGAAAATATTGCTGATTGGTGGGGGTGATTTTTTTTCTGGGCTTTTGTTTGAGATCCCCATTGTGGTAGTGAGGGGAGCTCTGCTGACCAGAGATGAAGAAGAAAAAGAGCCTAGGGGGTGGAGAGGAAGAGGTGTTTTCATGGATCTCTCCAGTGTCTTCTGACCAAGAGAGCGACACCGGAACCCGCAGAGAGGGAGGGGCAAAGAGAGTGGAGAAACCACTCTCTTTGAACCTCCAGGTCAGAGTCAAATGTTCCAAGCTGTTTAACGGGGCTGGGTTTTGTCAGCTGCCCATGTTCAAATAAGTTTGCAATTCAAGTACAGTAAGTAGGGTGGCCAACATGTCCAGGTTTGCCTGACACCTCCCTGGTCTTAGCATGCAAAATCCCACATCCCAGGAACCCCCCCACCCCGGGGGGCCAGGCTCCAGTGTGTGTTTTTCTCCCACACCACCAGTCAAGTCTCCAATTCTCAGCAGATACCGACAGGGCGTCTCATAATTCAATTCATTTCTGACATCGGCAGGTGACCAATGACCAACCAGCTAGACCGGACGTTCCCTCAGTCCTCTCCTTGGGTTTGAGGAATTTGCCAGAACGGCTCACAGAAATCAGAGATACATTTTACTTACCGAGTCACCAGTTTATTATTAAAGGATATTATTCAGCAAAAGCCAGGTGGGAGATGCATAGGGTGACGTATGGGGAAAGGGTATAGAGCTGCTACACCCTGAGTGTGCCACTCTCCCCAGATCACCACGTGTTCAACAGCCCGGAAGCTCTCTGAACCCCAACCTTTCGGGGTTTTGTCGAGGCTTCATTTTACCTATGCACAGTTGATTCAATCACTGACTGTGGGTTGTCTCCAGCCCCTCCGGCCTCCCAACAGGAGGGGAGGGGACTGAAGTTTCCCGCCCTCCAGTCACAGGGTTCATCCCCCTGGCAACCAGCTTCACCCCCTGGTAAGAAAAGGCTTTCAGAAAGTCACCTCATTAACATGACAAAGACGCCCTGATCGCTGTAATCACTTGGGAAATTCTAACGGGTTTAGGAGCTCTGTGCCAGAAACAGGGAGAGAGACCAAGTATATATTTATTATAAGTCACCATACTGCGGGGCAAACCGAGGTGAATGGTCGGTACTCACCCTAGTTCAGTGACTGCCCATTGGAATTACTGGGTGAGCTTTAAGATTACTGATGGCGGGGCTCACCTCCAGAGATGGTGATAGACTTCGTCCCAGGCACCACCAGGACATCTGGGAGATGGAAAGTTCCTCAGGGGACTTTATTGTGGCTAGCGACCGACAACCCCTGCAGCTCCTTGTGTGTCATTTCTCCCACTAATTTTTTTTTTTTTAACCAAAACAAAAGTCAGTGGTTCTGATGAAGCGAGACTCCTACCACATACCACATACAAAAATGGACTCAAAATGGATCAACAATGTAAATATAAGAGCTAAACTCTAAAAAATCTTGGAAGAAAACATAGGGGAATTCTTCATGACTTTGGATCTGGCAATGGATTCTATTATCCTAGTTCAGACTAGTTTACACTAGTGTACTTCAACTCACACGGTAGATCAGCAATACTTTGTGAGCTGTATTTACTTATAATATATATTTTAAACAATATATACTGGCAGTGAAATTACAAAACTGTAGATATAAAATAAGAAGTATGGTTGCTCAGATTTCTACCCCACAGGCGATTTTTGTTAAAATCGCTTGGGCATTCTTCCCTGTTCTATGCACATGCAAGCATAGAGGTACAAATATGTTTCTCTTTCTCATACTAACAGCAGCATACTGATTTTCACTCAACAGCATGTTTTGGAGATCATTTTAGCATGGGTGGGTCTGCCCAATATTCTTTTTTTCCTTCCAAAAAATTATGTTTATTAACATGTTATCCATATGAATTTTTCTTTTTTTCAAGTATGTTTTTAGTATCCCCCCCCCCCCCGGTATTCTTCTCAATGACAGCATTGCGGTCATCTGTAGTTGTGTAGTTGTGATATATAGTTCTAACTTATTTATATTAAATAGTTAGTCACAACTATCAAAGGACATTATAGATTGTTCGCATTACAAAGTGGCAGTGCCTATCGTATACGTCTGTGTCTGGGTAAATGATGTGCCACTGTCTCTGTGGGGTCCAAGGGTGGCTGAAAGATATGTACATTTCAGAATTATAGGAGATGATATCAAGATCCCCTCTAAAACGAAGTACCAACTTACATTCTTGGGGAGCTTTTGAAAACACAGAGTTTCAGGCTACTTTTTACTTTAACTCATGAGAATCTGGGTGGGGCCCTGAACCTTTGTTTTATTTCCTTGGTGCTTCTGATATAAGAAGGCTCCGGGACAGAATGGGAGCCATGGGACGGACGGTCTGGGTGCCCCTGCTGCATTTCCTCCTGCTGTTTATCTACTGATGGGACAGCTGCGTCGCCTCACCAAGGGGACGGGGTCCTAAAGGACAGGCCTCAGGCATGTTGCTTCTCTGTGTTCTTACCCTGGCACCGTGTTTTGTATGACACTGCTTGTTGATGACAAGTCTTGGAAGAGTGTTTGTGGCTCATATGATGATTCTGTTTTCTTCTAGTTCCATGGATCAAACACAGAGAGGAATCCTGGGCCAGCCCGGGCCGGTCCCCACCACCCAGCCCAAGAAGAAAAGGACGTCAGTGATGTCTTTCTTTTCCAAGGTCTGTCACAAAATATTATGAACAGAGGTCCCTCCCCAACAACTACCTGTAACAGCGCCTGGTCTGCATCGGCTGTGGTCGCTCCACAGGCGCTTCTGGAAAAAGCTTGATGACGCTTCTCATAACACAGACCGCAGGTTCATAGGGTAACGAGACAAGCGGGGAGGAATTTAGTTTACTGCAAACTTAATCATAAAAGTATAGAAAGAGCTACAATGCATGCTGAGAAATAATGATGAGACCTGGTAATCACCCAAATACCGAATAGGACTGTGGGTCCAGTCTGCAGGCCCTTGTGCCCCAGGACGGTAAGGAGGTGGCTTTTCCTGGATCTTGTCTGGATTGTCTTTGTTCTGACATCAGCATATGTTGCTGTGTTGTATGAGGCACAGAACACTGTGCCCTGCCTGGTCTCATAGGCTCACCACAGAGGGGACCCGGTTCTAGCCCTGCAGTGACAGTTAGTCCCTGATGTGGCTTCCTGTGCTTGCCGCACGGTGTTTCCCATTTGCCTTACTTATGCATATCTGTTCCTAATCTTAGTTGCTCAGATATATGCATTCTGGGGTGGGACAGCCTTTAGGTGTCCTGAAATGTTTGTAGGTGTGCTTTGCTAGTCGGGCCAAATGCTCAAGAGGTTGAGGAAGACGAGCATTGAAAATTAACCCTTGGATGTAGTCACGTGGAGGTGGGGGAGGGGGGCATCAATCTGACTGCAGAAGGTTCAAGAGATAAAGGAGAGAGGAATTGGAGGAAACAAGCGTAAACACATCTTTCAAGGTAGAGCAGGAAAGTGGGGAAGAGCTGGAGGAGGACGAAGGGTTGGGAAAATGCTTTTCTTTGAGATGGAAGCTGCCCAGCATTTCTCGTCCTGTGAAGGACCCCTGGTCTCAGCTCACATCAACTCTCTAAAGCCCCCTTTATTTTTTTTGTTAATGATTTTCTTTATTTATTTGACAGAGAGAGAGAGAGAGATAGCAAAAGAGAGCACAAATGGTGGGTGGGGAACCCAATGTGGGACTCAATCCCAGGACCTGGGGACCATGACCTGAACCCAAGGCAGACACTTAACTGACTGAAGGCGCCCCTGAAGCCCCCTTTCTTCTGAGCTCTAGCACACCCTCAGTGATCCTAGAGCACCTGTCCCCATATTCCCCCCAACCTACCTCAACACCAGCCCTGCATTATTTGTCTCTACCTAGTTCCTCTTCCACCCAAATTCTTCATTATGTAGATCAAACTAATGTATTTCCAGGAATAATCAGGTGGTTTTTAAAAAAAAGATTTTATTTATTTATTTGACAGAGAGACACAGCAAGAAAGGGAACACAAGCAGGGGGAGTGAGAGAGGGAGAAGCAGCCTCCCCCTGAGCAGGGACCCCGATGCGGGGCTCAATCCCAGGACCCTGGAATCATGACCTGAGCCAAAGGCAGTTGATTAATGACTGAGCCACCCAGGCACCCCAGATCAGGTGTCTTTAGGTGGAGAAAGAAGGGCTGAGTTGAGCAGGCCACACAGGATTTTCTTTAGAGGGAGGGATTGTGGTTGGAATAGGTATGACTCTGAACATTCCCCAGATCAATACATTTTTGACTTACTACACAGGTCTCTTGGTCACTGAGGTTCCAGAAGCGGGAGTCTCTGAAGAATGTGTTTTCCATCTTGGCAGAAAGAGCCCAGGACCCCAACGCTAAAAAGCGCCACATGGCAATGAGAGGCCTGGGAACCATGGCCTGTGAGACCCCTGACAAGGTAGGAGGGGAAGGTGGCACCCAACTGGCCTTCATGGCCTGGAGTCCCCAGGACCGGGAGACGGTGCTCCACGTACCAGTTATCCGCTGCTGTGCGACAGATCACCACAGACCTAGCATTCATCCTCTCGTAGTTCCCTTGGGTCAGGAGTTTAGGTACAGCATAACCGGGTTCTCTGCCCAGGATCTCACAAGGCTACCACCAAGGTGTGGGTCAGACTGCCTTCCTTTCTGAAGCCTGCGCTCTTCTTCCAAGCCTCTGTGGCCGTTGGAAGAATGCGGCTCCTTCTAGGTGTAGGACCGAGGTCCCTGCTCTCTTGCTGACCGGCCACCTCAACTCCTTGAGGCTCTTCTCCCACAGCATGTGAGCTTTCTTCTTCAAGGCCAGCAGGAGAGCTTCACCCGCTCATGCCTGCTCAGATGAACTCATGTAATGTGATACAACCATGGGAATGATATCCCATCCTTGTTGTCATATTCTAGAGGCTAGAAGAAAAGTCACTGCTTCCTTCCACATTCAGGAGAAGAAGACTGGACAAGGGTGTGACTCATTTGGGGTTATTTGGGGGATCTTCACACCTCAGTAGTATCAGCCTTGGGAAACAGAGTGGCAGATGGGATTAACACACACCTGGACATCACCCTCTTGGGTGAATTTAATTTATTTTTGAGTAATTTATGCCTGTGTAGTAAAAGATGTTTTCCCCACCTCTTTTAGCAACTGTCAACTTCAGTGATCATTTCATCTCACCCCCAATAAAAGTATCTGCTGTGCCCCAGAGGCCTAGATCATCCAGCCCACCACACTCCTTGATGCTCCCTTCCCGCCCTCATCTGCTCATAAGCCAAGCTCCAGACTGCTCTTCCTGTTGTTCTTCCAAGATTGAGCTGGATGTTGGGTCAGGTTAAGGGAAAGCATTTGTATTTCAATGAGTGTTGTTGCTGTAGTACCGGAAGAAAGCTGCGCTCTCAGTCCAAGTCCTAGGTTATTGGAGGATTAGAAGTAGGATTGCTTTTCAACTCGCAGGGAGCAATTTCTGGACTACTCATGCTTTTCAAACTTGTTAACAGGTGAGAAAATATAAGAAAATTGTCCTAGACCTGCTGGTGCATGGATTGTATGACCCTGTGAGTGCTGAAGTCATCCACGAGAGCTTGAAGACACTGACCATCATCTTGGGCAAGATCCAGGGGAAAAGTCTAGGCTCTTTCTTCGTAGACATCACTCTCCAGACCAGGACTTTATTAGATGATGTAAGTGAGACAATTTGGAAGAATTCTGGATTATTAAATTTGAGGTAGGATGAGATATATATGAGCCCTGGCTGGTGTGTTGCTCAGAGACCATGGTCTGTATTATTCACTTCTTTATTAAGAAATCATTGAGAGACTAGTATCATACTGGCAGTTATGGAAGACATATAAAGAAGGAGGAGTTTTTGTTGTTCTGGAGAAGTGAATATATATACACCGATGATGAATATGGTGATGAAGATGATGGTCAAGGTGATGGTAACAGTGCTGACATGTATTGAGTGCTCTGTTAAGGTGTGACGATAACACTAGTTAGTGTTTAGCGAGCCAGTACTGTGTGCCAGGCCCAGTGCTAGGCAGTTCTCGTGGGTTATCCCATAGAATCTTCTCAATAACCCTGTGAGGTAGGCACTATTATTATCTTCATTTTATAAATGAAGAAACCAAAGCACAGAGAAGTTAGGTGACTTGCCCGAGACTCATAGAACCAGTGAGCAGATATGACCCCAGACTTTCTGACTACAGGACCTGGGCTTTTCACTCACACGGGACAAGGTGGGCTAAGTAAAAAGTGCACTGATACGTTGTTTGCTCTGAAACTGTGGGGACTCTGAGATACCTTCCTTTCAATCTGACCAGTTAGCCTGCTGCAGACACACACACACACACACACACACACACACACCCTCTAACAGAGAGATAATACCTGTAGAATAGGAAACAGACCTACAGACCTTTTATTTACTCACAAAGCACCTTGCGTTAGTTCCCCACACTGAATTCTCCGGATGGACCTGAGCCACATGAGAGGAACAGAAACCTTGAAATTATGAAACTCAGAGTTTATATAGGAGCTTTTGACCCATTTGCCCCTCCTCCTGCTCAGAGAAACAGAAGAGACCTTTGCTCTGGAATGCAAACCAGTCATCTCTGTGGGTAGCGGGGAGAGGAAGGTCTCTACCTCCCTGGAATATAAACAAATATCTCCAGAGAGATGTCTAAATCTCTCTGCAGGTCCAATTTAATTTCCAGGTCTTGTTTGCCATGCAATCACTTTTTTATACCCAGATGAACTACAGTTTTTGACCAGAAAGCCCTGGGTGTATAGTAACCTGGAGATACTTGTGGAGAGTTGTTTCCTGACAGTGTGTATCTAGTGGATCTTGACTGCCCATCTCACCCTGTGCTCTCTCATGCATGTGTTCCCTGTCATATGATTGTCAGGCCCCAAGCAGGCCAAGCACCCATCTTATGTGTCTTGTACCTCTTAGAGTGGAAGGGTAGCAATGAATTGAATTATGCACATACACATACACACACACACACACACACACACCAGTAGAACAGTGAAGAAAGTGCACCACTAAAGCAATTTGTGTGAGTGTCCCATGTGCTAAAAAATATTTTTCAGTTCTTCATGAAATGGTCAGTGGTCTTTGGTCTTGCTGAGTGTCTGTGACCCCCAGTTCTAGGTGCTTCTTGCCCCTGAAGAGGCTCAGCCCAGCTCAGTTCCTCCTGGTTTGCCTGGAGATTTCATGGGACCAGGAAACACTGATATAAAATCCCTTCGCCAACAGTCAGGAGACTGGGTGCTACCCCGGTTCTTTGTCACCCAACAATGAGACTTCCACAAGTCACGGAAATGCCCTGAGCCTTGATCTATTCATCAGGAAAGGGAGATACTTGGACCAGACCTCTCACCTTGGAGAAGAATAAAGGACTGTACCCACTGAGACGACTTTAGAAACCATTCCGCTAACTAAAAAGAGGGAAAGTTGGCAAGGTGTCAGGAAAGAAACAATTGTTATTTCTACCACAGAAGCGAGAAATTCAGACCAGAAGTGAAGGAGATGCCCTAGTAGAAACACTGGGAATAATCAAAAGGAGATGGGTCAAATGAATTAAAATGCAGCTACCCTAAATTCCTTTAGGTAGTGACATGGGAAGAGCTCCCAGATAGATCATTTGATGAAAAATCAAAGTACCTGACAATGGGATGGTGTGCTTCTATTTGCCTAAAAATGTGAGAAAGGACTATATGATGCATATTTTATTCTTTTTCTTCTTAATCTTTTGGAGGGATACACACAAAATTTATAACTTTGTTCATTCACGGGAGGGAAATTGAGTGGCAGGCAGAAAGGCGTAAGAAGTAGACTTACTTTTGTTAATAAAATGAATTGATTATTTTGAAATTTGAACCATACAAATGTATTCTATCTCCAAAACTTTGAGTAATAAAGAACAGAGTTGGGAAGCTTGGATTAGCACAGTGATTCCCCCAGTCTGCTTGTCTTGTCCTCTGGAGAAGACAGTCGGTTAAGACTGTCGTTCAAGACAGCTAAGTGCTTTAGACTGGATCTTGTGATTCACACCCACCCATGCAACAAAGCACAAAGACTGGGATGTCCTCTGATGCAGTGGCCTTTTGGTCATGACCTGGGTTCTGTTGTTTTGTTCACCGGGGATCCACAGGAGAATGACAACCTGAGATACTCAGCCTTCGTCTTGTTTGGCCAATTGGCGGCCTTTGCTGGGCGGAAATGGAAGACATTTTTCACCAGCCAGGTCAAGCAGACTCAAGATTCCCTCCTGATACATTTACAGGACAGAAATCCGCAGGTTGCCAAGGTAAGTCTGTGAGAGTCCCACCGGCTGTGCTAAAGCTCTGGCCATTCCTAAAAGGGGCTGCGGTGGTGCCCTGTTGCGCTGAGCCGCTAGACCTCTTCCTGCCGGTTCCATTAGGGACACTCAGAAGTGTATCCATGGGGGGTGTCTGGGTGGCTCAGCGGGTTAAAGCCTCTGCCTTCAGCTCAGGTCATGATCCCAGAGTCCTGGGATCAAGCCCCGAGTCAGGCTCTCTGCTCAGCGGGGAGCCTGCTTCCTCCTCTCTCTCTGCCTGCCTCTTTACCTACTTGTGATCACTGTCTATCAAATAAATAAATAAAATCTTTTTTTAAAAAATGGTTAAAAAATAAATAAATTAGTGCACACAAGAGAGAGAGAGAGAAAGAGAAAGAGAGAGAGAGAGAATGAATTTGGGAATTTAGGAATCCAGAACTACTTTTGATGGGATGATAACTGGTGGTAAACTATAAAGTGTTGCTCTCCTCACCAGCCCCAACTTATAGACATGGTTATTTTAGAAGCAAAATCCTTTAAGGCTGACGTCTTCAGACTTTCTGGAAGTTACTTTCATACCCTCAGTGGCCCCCAGACCACAGATCCGGTGCAGTGCTCTTCCTCAGTTGGATTCTAAAACTCTCTAATGTTTTTGACAATAACATGGTAATATTATTTTTCTCAGGCTTGCAAAACAACATTTCGAGCCTGTTCTCCATATCTGAAAGAAAGAAAGGAAACCGGCTTCCAGACCGAAGAAGATCAAAGGAACCCTAAACTCTGCCGGCAACTGGTGAGAGAGAGAGGGTGGGAGAGAATTCTTCCAGAGGTCCCCGCCCTCCTGGTGTCAACCCAGAGGGTGGGCAGCCACACTTGGGCGTTACTCCCCATAAAAGAACTCAGGCCAATTGTGTTTCCCTTGTAACTAATCCGTCATGCAATGTAAATGACAAAACACCCAGAGGATTACACACAAAATCTATTGGCACTCTTAGTGTAGACCATTAGATGAACACAGGCCATGATCTGAGAGTCTGAAGACTGATGGTCCTCACGCTTTGCCTTTGACAACTGCCAAAGAGCTGTGTTGAACCCGTCCCTCACGAGCGCTTTTGCTGATTTCTTTCAGAGCCACTATCATCCAGAGCTCCTGCAGTTCTTCTATGCAAATAAGATTCTGTAAACACAGAGCCGCAGGGAAATTGTTCCAGTGAGCACCTTGCTGGGGGGCTGATAGTCCCCCCTCTTTTAACTCTTCGATGCTTCTGCTTGCCTCTTGGGATTGTAATAGAAAACGGGATGCTGGGAGAACAATTGATGGCAATTGCATGGAATTGTATGATTCTATCCGAAATAAATTCTCAATTGCTTTTATGTATCTCATTTCCTCCCCATGCAAATTTGATGAGAAGGTACCTGCTTTGTTGAAAACATTGAAAGCATATGTAGATTCGGTGCTTCTTGTTCTTTTTGCTGCTTAAGTTCGTCTCTGTCACCTATCTTGTATTTTTCATTTTATTTTTAATTTCTGAGGTTTAGGAGAATATTACCTCAAGTGATTTTTTTAATCTGTCATTGATACTTCGCAATTTGTTATGGATGACTTTATTGGCAGGATCTATTTAAAGTTGGTGAAAGGCCCAAGAAGGGGGTTTGGAGACTACCTTTAGCTTCTCATAATCTTCAACAGTCATTGCCTCCAGGATCATCACACAACACAAATCAATACAACACAAATCAATAAAGAGAAAAAAAATCTAGAAAGTGTGTGTTGAAAAACCTCAGGCTAACAGTAATGTATGGAATAATAAGTAACATTTATAGACAATGTTTATTGGACACTAAGCACTTTGCAAGTATTATTTAATACTTACAACAACCCTATGAGAAAGGTACTATTATTATCCTCATTTTCCAGGTGAGAAAAACTAAGGCACAGGGAAATTAAGACCCAGTGAGAGACGGAGCTGGAATTCAAGCCCGGACCGTCTGACTTCTAGAGCCCATATTCAATCACCATATGATTCTGCCTCAATGTAGAATAATTGACAGATGGATAGAAACGTAAAAAAAAAGACAAAACAAAACAAATTTTAAAAAACTCAGCTTCTGCTCTATTTAACTCAGTTAACTTTTGCTTTTATATGTACTAAGTACACATCTCTATTAATTTAATTGGTGGTCTAAGTATATATTTTTACTTGTCACCTCTTGGCTAATTATGTCAATTTTTTTGGCAGTCAATTCTAATTCTAGGAGGGATCACATGGCTCATGTAAAAAGTTTCAAGAAAAACCTCAGCCCCTCCTACTTTCCCTCCAACCAGTTTGCCTTCCAAGCTTTTCCTATAGAAATCCTGATATTATCACCAAACTTGGCATTCAGGCCATACGGGACGACTGTGTCCAGTTTGGGAAATGGAAAACACAAGTGGGTCATAAATGCTGCAGAGGGATCTTAATATTGTTCTGAAAACTGGGAACTTAATCTTCCGCTCTAGCTTTCCGGAGACGGGACTGTATAACACAGATGAGGGGTGTCTCCTAGGGGAGACAAGAATGTGGCAGATGGCAGAAGGGGAAGCAGGAACCAGGCATGAACGAATTTTCTTCCTTCCTATTTTGAGGCTGGGGTACCTGACCCAGGGACTCGGGAATGACAAAGACTCTGGAGCAGGTGGGATGGTTCTGAGCTGAGAGCCCTCTCCCTTCCCAGATGTTGCCCTGTTTGAAACTATGTTGTTGCAAGGTCCCAGTAGAATCTGATGCTTTCTGCTAAGCGATCAGTGAGTGGCCTGAGAAGTAATTGCATCTGGCCAGCATTCGACAAAGCTGGAGGTGGAATGGGGCAGGTAGGTTATGTGCACTAGAGCAGAGACATCTATGTACTTAATGCCCCTTAGTTGGATAAAATTGTGGAAGATGCTATTGAATTGGCTTTAAGATTTGTGGTGGACTGTTCACTTGGGTGGCCTCCAATGAATCATGTCTCCTAACACTCATGCCCTGTGTAGACCCTTCCCGTTGCATCTGGGCTGGCTTTGTGGCCCACTTTAACTATGAGAATGTGCTGGAAATACCAGTATGCCAATTTCAGGCTACTCTGTAAGAGCCCTGGCAGCTTCCTTTTTTGTGCTCCAGGTGAAGCCAGCCGCCATGTAAGATGCCAGATTACCAGGAACGAAGAAGAATGTCTGAGATCACCATTTTGGAGGAAAGACCAGGCTAACTGCATGGGATGCCATGTGGAGAGCTGAGGAACCCAATCCACAGTGAAGTCTGAGGTCCATACTCGTGACTCACGTTGGCTGTTCCAGCCAGACTCCGGCTGTCCACGTGACCCAGCTGACACCAGCTGTCTCAATGAAGCCCATCCCAAGTTGCAAAATTGTAAGCAAGTGAATCAAATGATTGCTGTTTTAAAGCGCTAACTTCTGGGATAGTTTGTCACTCGGCAATAAGTAACCAAAAGAGGTTCCTAATCACTAATTTTGTCATTTGGCCAGTTTTGTTTTGCTCTTAATAAGTCCTCTTTGAGTTTAAACTATATTTCTAGAAAGTTATATTATGATGGAATTCTGCGGTGAGAGCAAGGGATGCCTTTTTTTGGACCTTGTTGGACCTTTGGATGCCTTGTTCTCCTTTTTCTAACTCACCCTGTGCATCACAGCACCCAGCACGCAGCAGCTGATCCAGAAACATTTGCTCAATGACTAAATAGTTGCAAATTGTAGCAGGAACAGCGTCCAAAGTAGTTTGCTACTCTGGGCTCTTAGCCATGGGCTCACACTCTTCCTTTCCAGCTTTTTCTTCTGTTACTCTTTTTGCTTTAGCCAAGTTTGGCTCCTCTCTCTTTAAACCCTTCTCGGTCTCTTAAGCTCCTTTGCCTTTGCTCAGTCTCCTTTTGCTTTGAACCCCCTTCCCCCAGCCATGCATACGCACATCTCAGGTGTATATCTTCTCTGTACTCTAAGACTGATCATTGCCCGATCCCCTCAATCAGGAAAGAGCTCGCATCTCTGAATTCCCAGAACATTCTAGCAGTCTTATGCTGCTTGACATGTTTGATCTCTTTGAAAGTTTTTACCTCCATGTCTTTTTCCCCCTGGTTCAAGGGAAGCTGCTGAAGGAGGAGTCCTACACAGTCTAGCTTTGTGTCTGTCACATGACCTCAAAGGTACTCAGTAAGTGCTTAGTAAATAAATGTGGATTGGGGAGGAAAAAGTCTGGAAGTCATCTGAAGCTACTCCCCCTTGGGAGAAGCCCATTTTGTCAAATGAGGACCATCACTTCTCTCCTTATAACCCATCTGCAGGTGACTTATATGCTTGTGTACTTAAGTAACCCTTTCCCTGTAAGATGCCTGTTAATTTGCTATTCTAAAGGTAAGGCTTTGGCATTTTTTTTACTTTTAAACACTAGATGTGCAACAGTTGAGTGAATTAAAGAAAGAAAAAGGAATGTTCAGGTGTTACCGTGCTATGTGCTCAGGGTAGAGATGCACATAAAACATGGTCACTACTTCCCGTTGCCCACATGATGAGCCTTTCTTTTTTTTTTTTTTTAAAGATTTTATTTATTTATTTGACAGAGAGAGATCACAAGTAGACGGAGAGGCAGGCAGAGAGAGAGAGAGAGGAGGAAGCAGGCTTCTTGCTGAGCAGAGAGCCCGATGTGGGACTCGATCCCAGGACCCTGAGATCATGACCTGAGCCGAAGGCAGCGGCTTAACCCACTGAGCCACCCAGGCGCCCCCATGATGAGCCTTTCTTAAAGGGAAGGAGAAAGGAGAAAAAGACAAAGAAGGAAGTAGAAAATCTAACAAGTAAAATCAGTACTGGAACTCACTGTGAACAGAATCCAGTGGAATTCCGGTCCATAATGTTGAGTTATAAAAAGCACAAATGTGTTTTACAAGGACAGAAATAGCAGCTGTGTGGACAGCTAGCAGATAGTGCTAGAAATAAGGCAAATATGTATTTGTGCTTTTCTGCATTTTCCAGGTTTTCAGCAATAAGCATGTATTACTTTTGCAATCATAGAACACATGTAAAAATGCTCTTTAAAGTAAAAATGGACTCCGTATTGGTGTGTCAGGGGCGTGCTGCTTATTGGTGTGTAAGGCAGCGTGCTTCGGAGAGCCTGGGATGGTTTTCCCTCACTCTCAGTAGCATGTGTTTGCCTTTGTCCTTTTGTGACATTGTCGTTTTAGCCTATCAATGACAAATAAAGTGACTTATGATTATCAGTGTATTTATGTTTACTGACTTTACATTCTTTTGTTTTGACCATAGGAGAATAAGTCTTTTGTTCCTGTTTTTATTTATGTGTTAAACACTCTTAGAAAAACCTCGGGGTTCTAGAGAAATTCAGTGCATCCCAGTTTCCTGAAGAGAGAGAGTTTGATATTGCAAAGGCCCCTTTAAATTATCGAGCTAAGCAGACTCCCAAGCCTGACAAGTGAGATTCTTTGTAACAGACGCCAACTTATGATTTCCCTTGGCTCTTCTTAAATTCTCCTACCTGGAATGCTTCACCCTCCATTTGCTTGTTTCTATCCACCATTCACTGGGTGGATAGACCATTCCGAGTGTCCTTCTTTTTCAGAGGTAGAGCAGAGCAATTAGGAAGATGGGAAGATGGGTCCCGATCAGGCCCTCCTCATTGCGAATCTGGCTTTGGCACTTACTGGTATAAACTTGGGTAAGGCAGCCTTCCAAGCCTCAGTTTGCTGATCAGTGAAATGGACATAATAATCCTACCCATAGTGGTGGCATGCTACAAAAATTCAATTGTACAACATCAAACACTTTGCATAGTGCTTGACACATAGAAGATGCTCAGGAAATGTTGGTTAATTTTGCTCCTGACCTCCAACCAGCTCTCTAGTTCTTGTTCCTTCTTTTCTCGATGCTGCCCAGGTCTCCAGCGAGGCCCATCCTGGCTTTCAGTGTGGGATCAGAATGTCATCTTGATCCTTCCCAATGAGAGATTGTAGTCCTAGAGTCAGCTCTGCCTCTTTATCCTCCCCATGTCCTGAGGACTGTAGCGTTGAGCCTTGCCCACATGGGTGTTCAATAAAGAATACTGAATTTGTGGAGTTGCTAATGCTGGTGTCTTGCCTGAGCATGAAACTAGCACCTCGCGGTTGGCTTTAGAATGGCCCAATACATTTTCATAAGAATGAGAATCCTAACTGAACGAGAAGAGCTAGTCGTTTTCTCCCACTGGGCTCTTGTCTGGGAATCATGTGTGTTCAGAGCAAGAGCAGTGGCTTTTTATGCTCCAGAGCCAGCTTCAATAGGCTCTTTTCATTCTGTCTGAACAGCCCCAGTGGCTCCGTTAATAATTCTGTGTTGTATCTTTTGGGCGATCTCTTGTTAATAATTAACACCCCACCTTCTGTTTCTGAGTGTGATTACTGTAATCATGTTCCTTTCAAGCTAATGAATTTCCTGCAGCACTTTGCAAATGTTAACCAGGTAATGGCCCAAATGTCTCCCTGCAAGAAGAAAATGTTTTTCAGAAATGTAGATCAGAGAGTTAAAATGTCATTTCCTAAGCCATGCGGCTAGAGGCACATGCCTCTGCCAGAGCGAAAATGCGATAAGAAATCCAGGGCCTTTCAACATGCTTGCATGGACTGACTACATCAGCAGGCATGGTTTCCTTGGAGAAGGAAAGCAGCTCAGTCCCAAAGGTGACGTCACGTGTCCTGGAAGGACACATGAGCTGGTGTCAGGAAACCTGGTTTTGCGCCAGTTACCTTCATCAAGTCACGTAACCTCTCAGAACCTACCACCCAAGGTCCCGTGATGGTAAAATGAGACAGTGGGTGGAAATGGTACGGTGTTAGCCCATGATGAGGTGTGCTCATGGGCACGGTAGCCACTGATCAATGGAGACTTTTATACAAGGGAATTTGTGGGAAGAAGGAAAGACAGCAATAACAGAGACCCCGATTTAAGAGTAATATGCAATATTAAAAAATCTTAAAAATATGAAAACAGTAAAATTGGGTATAATACATTGTTCTATATATCAGGGTGCTTCTCCAGATAACAAGTACCCCTGTCACAATGTAAATTAGGATCAGTTTACAAATTTAACATGTATCTATTTCATATAATTTAGTTACACCCAAACTTTCTGGATAAGAGATAATGACTAACATTCAAAAATTGTGGAAACCCAGGCAACTCTTTCTTTGGACTATTCTAATATTGGGATCAAATTCGATTCAAGATATTTAGGACTCTGTTAGGGAAAAATGAAAATCTTGATCTGTTTGGATTTAAAACTCACAGAGTGACAGTTTATTTACTAACCTTTTACAAGCCGGAGGAGACTAAACCCAGGGATCTGAGATTTTCCTGACCAGCAAGAAAATCTATACAATGTGCAGAGTCCTGGATTAAATGAACTCAAAGCAAATGAGCTCATTTTCTGACTTTAGTGAGCAGATTCAATTTCATAAACAAAAATTGTATGACTTAAGAGAGCAAACCCAATTTCCTGTATTAAACAGGGGTTACTTGTTTAGATGGTTAACCTATCTTATTTGTAAGTGTTGCTTCTCATTAACTCTCAGTAAACAAAGAAAGGATTTTATCATGAAGATAATAGAATATGCACAGTTAAGTCTGTTTAATCTTTTTTTTTTTAAGATTTTATTTATTTATTTATTTATTTAACAGAATGAGAGAGATCACAAGTAGGCTGGAGAGAGATCACAAGTAGGCTGAGAGACAGGGGTAAGCAGGCTCCCTGCTGAGCAGAGAGCCCAATGCGGGGCTTAATCCCAGGACCCTGAGATCATGACCTGAGCCAAAGGCAGAGGCCTAACCCACTGAGCCACACAGGCGCCCCCAAGTCTGTTTAATCTTAAAGGCCCTTTGACCTACCTAGATCTGTGTTTATACTTCAACGTAATTCTTGGTTGACCTCCTTGCTCTTACCTTTCCCAAGAAAAGGAAAGGCAGGCCTAGCATTTTGGATTTCACATGCTTTTTCTTAAATCTGATTTAAACATGTATGTCAATAAATGAAGTCAGCCTGAGAAATCAAAGCCTGGTATCTTTTGGTTTCCCCAGTGTTGGCTCAGGACGGTCCCCACCTGGCTTCAAGGAAAGCCCTTCTCTTCTGACTAGAATGAGGAGGAGTCTGAGGGGGAGGATGGTTTACGTTCTCTCTCAGGGGCATCCAGATCTCACCCTCTCTGCTTCTAAGTGTTCCTAGAGCAGGAGCCTTCAGTGTAGCCAGCGGGAGGCAGCTGAAGGCAGAGGGTTCAGCTTCCGGATGTCATTCCCCCTCAGAGTTCTTTAGTAAGAGATCATAAACGGTGATCTCTCTCAATGAGAGCAACAGTCATAGATTTTTTTTTTTTTTTTATGGCTGGGCAGAAAACAACCATTAAAAATAAACCAAACAGGGGCACCTGGGTGGCTCAGTGGGTTAAAGCCTCTGCCTT